ACCTCAGAATGGGGAAGAGAAACTTAGAATTGCATTTTTTTCCATTCTCCATTTTTTATTTCTGTTTTTAGTACCAGAAGTTTCCATACGTTTTCTGAAAAACAAAAATTACTCAAAAAGGCAAAAGATTTGCAACCAGTGCCAGACTGATCATTTCCACAGAAACCTGGAGCGTCTTCTCTGTGAATGCTAATGATCCACTATCTCTGGCTCTGAAGTCAGGAACACTGTAAGCGAACATAGACTTTGAACGAGGAATGTCATCCAAGAATATCTGATAACAGGGAAAAAAAACACTGAGTTTTTGGAAATCTAGCTGGGTCAGGTAGTCATATTAATAGAGTTTTAAACCAAATACAACATGCTCTTTAAAAATCAACATCTAACTACATGATAACTCTCAAAAAGAATTTGCGCTTATTCATTGCATTTTTAGCCCAGAGGATGTAAAGAAACAAACATTTGACATGAGTGACAGCTCATTATCAGGGGATTATTGATACTCAGAGCCATGAGTTCGTGCTTGTACTGGATCATTTATTCATAGAGCTGTGGGTGGATGTGTTAGTAATTCATGAGGGAAGATCTGAGAACAGCATTGCTTTACGGGGAACAATAACATTGTCAAACTCTCCTGTTACATGAAGATCTATAGTTCACCCAATCATATCTCAACGTATCTTCTTTTGTGTTTCACAGAAGAAAGAAATGCATACAGGTTTACAGACATGAGGGTGAGTAAATGATGACACATTTTTTTATTTTTGGGTTCATTTCTGTTAACCCTGATCTGTCACTTAAGGAGAGACTGTCTATCTGTCTGTCTATCTCTCTGTCTGTCTGTATGTACTTATATACCCAACTTTATATATAGAGCTGTGTGATAATACAGTTTGCATTTATATTTATAAATAGTTATTATATGTCTTGTATGTTATTTAGAATTTGTATTGTATTCATAGAAACTTGTAGAGGAATCTTTTAATCTGGTCCAGTAATAAATCACCTAGCAACCTCCCAAAAAAGCCTCTGCTATGTGTGTTTTCTTGGTTCCCTTGATGTCATTAAAGTGTCCTTGTTGATGTACTCCACGTCTCCTCGTTCCTCGCTCCCTCACAGAAGCGAACGTGACGCATGGCAGTGAGTTTTGCAAGGCAAAATCCAGTTTTCGGTCTTCTGTCTCACAGACTGTATTAATAAAATAGGGTTTGTACTCTGGCCAATTTCATGACATGTGCTTTCTGAAATTTAAGACATGTTTTCTTTTCCTGTGACGTCTGCATCTCGGTGGAATCAAATGTATCTTCTTTTCATGAGCAATATGGTGAAAATCAGAATGGAGTGTGAGACTGGAGCATAGGTCAGGAGGCCTGCTTATTCCCTATGGATTCAGATTCTTTTAATAGTATGTAGTGGAGAGAGAGTGGAAGTCTGAATGCCGGTGGTCTTCAGGGAGCAGTGGGTGGGGGAATGAGACATTATGAACTCCATTGCCAAAGCATTTGCCTCGTCAAATGAAAATCAGTCTGGCTGTTGTGTCAGTATTCTGCCTGTAACGCGGCAAGTGAATTCAGCGCAATCAAAGATCTGTCTGTCTATCTGAGAACGTGTTTACAGCCCTTCTGACAACTTTACCATAGAAACCAGTAATGTTTTCTGTAGGAGTCAGTCTGTTTGGACCTGTTTGGTTGATTCCAATTTCTAAGAAATAGGTCTGATTTTTTTTTCTGCTGTTTCATGAATTGTTTTGTGTAATAATAAACCCACCCGCAGTGTTAAGAGACCATTAGCCCCAACCTCCCCTATATAGTGAGCAAAAACAGGACTTTGTCGATGTTCAGACAGTGAATATGTATGTTTTGTCTTCCTGATCAGGCACACAGACACGCAGTGTTCACCTGACATGACCATACATGCCTGACAGATTTTTTAGCCATGATATTGTGACTCATGTCGCTGTCTGTGGGATGTTTGTGAGTCAGTATGTGGGCGTGAATGAGAATCGACAATCTCACTCTCATCTCCAGCATGACGGCATCCACAACATCACTGTAAAAGCCTTGCAACACAGAAAATACCTTGTATATTTAACTTTTGAGTTTTGTATTCATGTATAATAATAATAATAAAATAAATAAATAGTATAACTTATAATATGAACGTTTATATTATAATATCATACTAGGTTCAGTACAGTCATTCAGTACAGTAGTTTCTAGCCATTGAATTAATTCTGTAATAATTGCATATGCATAAGTTAGCAACAGCCATGATTTTTTTTTTTACAAAATATATTATATAAATTAAATGAAATTAATATAATAGGCCTAATAATACAAATAATAAAATAAATAAATAATAAAATAGTAGATTTATAATAATATATACATTTATATTATAATATATCATTATTTGTTTCACATTAAAGTAATAAGAATGAGGGGTTTCACCGTTATGATAAGGACAATTTGGTGGGAATTTATGCTTAAATGTCATGAAAAACAATAAAGGCTCTTCAATAGGCAAATATAATGAGTTATTTTGATTTGTGACTTGAAATACTTCCTTATGGCATGAGATTCACCTGAGTGTATATATTTGGCTCTTAGTAAAGGTTACTGCTGAGGGAACGAACATTGAGCGAGTCTTGTGACTCTTAAATGTTAATGAAACCCCTCACCACTAACATGACCATATAAGGATGGGTTTCCTCTTGCCTGGAAAACACAACAATAGAGGCCAATAGAAATGAATATCAGCTGTCTTGTTTGCTCTCTCTCTGTCATGGATCATGCTCTGCTGGACAATTATTGAAGAGAGGAATGTGTAGCGGAGCAATTAATAAGCTGAGACTTTGTACATTGCAGCTTTTTTTTCCGGCCAAAAAAAGAATATTCTTTCAGTTAGTATTTACTCTCATGTCTTTCCAAACCCATATTATGTTATTTTTCCACATGAAGCATGAAATGAGAATTTTTCAATAATCTTTGTGCAGCTCTTTGCCACATCATCATGATGGATCATAATGACCACATCCATTAAAACTGACACCAAATAGTAAAAACAAGTCATTATTCACTGAAAATCTGTTCCTCTGTTGCAAATCTCATTCTCCATTCTGCATATTTGAACACCGAAAAACTGGGAAAAATAACAGAATTTACTTTAAAACAGTTTACAATAGGAAATTGGTAGTACATTTCACAATTAATTACAATGAAATGACAAGTAACACATTGGAATTTTGAAGTAGGAGGACTGAAATAGTATTTTCTTGCTTATCAATTCTAAAAAAAATTTTTTTTTTACAGTGTAAAGGTTTGTTTTGGAATCGCATGCACTGAAAAAATGTATAAACAATTTTCACTCAAAAATTGCGAGTAAATTGCAGAAATAATTACAAAAAAGGGCAAACATGACATTTTTAAGTAAAAAGAAATCTAAGACAATAGTATTTTCTTGTCAAATGTATTCTAATAATCTCTTTTATTTACAACTTTAAAAAAAATTATTTTTGCAGTGTAAATGTTTGTTCTGGAATCGGACATTAAAGGGGTCATATGATGCTGCTAAAAAGAACATTATTTTGTGTATTTGGTGTAATGAAATGTGTTTACCTTCACGATATGGTGGCGGCGGCGGCGGCGGCGGCGGCAGCAACAATACTACAGCGAGAATAAAAGTTATGCCTTCTTTCTTTGCGTGAACATTTGCGTTATGCAAATCTTCCCACATCGTGACGTAGACATGTGGGGGCGTGTTAGAACGAGCCGTTTTAGGTAGGCGTGGTTGACTCTTAACTTTTATAAAGAATATCTTTTTGGTTTTGAGACTTTAGTCTTTGCAACTTTACAGATCTTCTTTATGCACCAAGAGCTTGTAACACTCCAAAGAGAAAGGAAAACTTGAAATTGCATCATATGACCCCTTTAATTCTTAGCTCCATTAGAGATACAGATTTCAGTGATTAGCAAATTTAATTTTACTTCACACAAAGACGTCACATGACCTCAGAAGATTTATAGTGAAAACATAGTGCACAAGTTCTATGGTCTACTTTTATAGAGGTTTTTGTCTTTTATATGTCCTTGTTGGAGCTTGACAGATGCAGTCACCATGTTGTTGAACATATGAAAACTGGATGAACCATTCCTATAAAAGCCAAATGTATTAAATTGATTAAATCAGTTTTATTTTAGTATCACTTATACTATTATAGATTTTGTTAATATTTTGAACTAGATTTTATTTGAAAAAAAATTTTCAGGTAAATGAATTAATTTTTTAGGTAAAGTTTTGGTCACTAACGGAAATAAAAGAAAAAATGTTTAAAATAAAAAGTACTAAAATTAAAAAAAAAAATTAAAGAAAAATTCTATTTTAAAAAATATATAAAAATGGCAAAAATACATAAAAACTTAAACTAAAATTAAAATGGAAACAGAAAATATAAAAATGTATATTCAAATATTAATAAAATACTGTAATAGTATCTGAATAGTACTAAAATAATATTGTAGCTGCAGTGATATTTAGATACTGTTAGTAATTTGGTAGAATTCAGAGATAAAATTATGTATTAAAAATGTTTTAAATTTTTAAATATATTATATCTTATTTCATTTCATGAAGTTCAAGTTTTTTAAATTTTTGTTTTAGTTTTAGTTAACTATAATAATAACCCTGACACGCCTGCACGTACATGCACAGGACGGGACACCCAGATGAGTTCCAGCATGTCTCCTGTTGCTCCTGCTGGAGAGATTAACATGCAGAGCAGCACAGAACTCAGTGGGACTCGCAAACAAACTTGAAAGGAGCTGAGAGAGAGAGAAGTGGGGAGGGGGGATAGCATTGAGGGCTGAAGAGAGTCCTGGAGTGAAAATCAACACGGCAAGATGGAGATGTTGCAAGCCAAAAAGAGTGAAGCAGGAGGTTGGGAGGCCGACAGATGGGTGAGGGGGTGTACAGAGGGAGGGACTTCAGTGGAAAGAAAAAAGGGAAGGTGAAGGAGAAGAATGCATTAGACTGAGAGAAAATAAACCAGAAGTCTGCTGGAGAGAAGATCTCATTCAAGACGTGAGCAGAACCCATTCAGACTGCTTTCAAACAGGTATGCTGATCATTTTTACTACAGTTTTACTTACGCTGAGGCTACAGGTTGCCATGATGATCAGTATAATAGGAACTGTAATAGTGCACTAATAGCGTGTTATTTTACGACGGGAACCACCCAAAAACGACTGTAAAACTTTAATAAATCTTGGAATAATGGATAATTCTAAATAAATAGCCTATATCCAAAGTAATCAGTGTACCATTAAATCTTTTTGATTATGTAATCAATTGTATAATTTTTTTTTTATACTTACATTTTTTTGTAACAATAGCCAATGTTATACTAGTTTTTCCAAAATATTTTAATTAGTTTTTATTTTTGTGTTTTCTGTTCATTTTTTTCTGTTCATTTTAATTTAAATATCTACGTCAAAATTTTATTTTTAAAGTGCCCCATATGGATTTTTGAAAATGACCTTTCATTCAGTTTGTAGCTAACACAGCTCTAAGTGAATGAAAACATCCTGCAAAGTTTTAAATCTGAAAGTGCACCGTGTATAAAGTTATTGTCTCTCAAAAGAAAGCGTCGACTCTGAATCATTGAAACAAGTCCCAAGCAGTTTCATGTTGACGTCAACATGAAATATTAGCATATTGCCCGCCTACTTGTTGGTCTTTTCGCGTTGGTCTGAATGAAAATTTTAATTAATTCTTTGCGACTACACTCTTAAAAATAAAGGTGCTTCACGATGCCATAGAAGAACCTTTTTGTCTAAATGGTTCCATAAAGAACCTTTAACATCTGAAGAACCTTTCTGTTCCACAATAGGTTATTTGTGGCGAAAGAAGGTTTTTCAGATTATAAAAAGGTAAGAAAGAGATGGTTCTTTAAAGAACCTTTGACTGAATGGTTCTTTGTGGAACCAAAAATGGTTCTTCTATGGCATCGCTTGAAGAACCTTTTGAAGCACCTTTATTTTTAAGAGTGTAGGTGCCGCTTTTGGAGCTTTTCCCCGGTTTTCTGCGCTCACAAATGCTGCTTTATCAGGCATACAGGCAAGATTAAATTAAAATGGGACCAATCACCGCAGATTAGTGTCACGCAAAGGAGGGGTTTGAAAAAATTAATCGTTAAACGAATCGTTTCAGAGTCTTTGAGCAAATAAGGTAAAAATAAATGCATATTATAAGACGATGAAAGTGTTTTTTGACCTTGCATGCATGTCAACCTGTTGTTGGGGACTCCCAAAACCAAAATATGAACCTTTCATTATCCATAATAGGTGGACATTAATTCAGTGTGTTACTTACCATTTCTTTGTAATTGTGAAATTTTCTATCAAATTCTGAGTGAAAATTGTTTCTACACATTTTTTTAGTGAAGTTAAAGTAAATGAAAATGAGAAATGTAGCTGAAATAAAAAAAAAATTACAATTAAATTAAACTTTATATTATATTAATTTCATATTATTCATTTAACATTTTTTGTATTTAAAGTATAAATTTGTTTTAATGGTTTTAACTTTAATAACCCTGGCAATAACTATAACAATATCTAGATTCATTGTTTTTGCCCATGTATAACTGAGTGATTGTCAGGGTGATGTTAAGATGTTATGAGCTGTTTTTAGCGTGTTGTTATGAGTGTTGCTAAGTCATAAGAGTTAATGCTCAACTCTCTATTCTGGTTTATACATATGGTCTGGGTCTCTCCTTCAGCGACAGTCTGTGGGTTTATTTCACCTATTTTGTCACACCAGGTAAAAATTGTTAGTCTGATCACTTAATATCACCAGTAACTTTTTTGTTGTTGCTGATCCAAGTGTGTATCTTTATTCAATGTGAATTATTAGCAAGCTGGCATCAGTCAGGGGGCCGGGACTTCTCATTCCCTTTATGGCTTAGTCAGGTTCCCACAGTAACTGTCAGGCGATGCCATGAAGTTCATTCCACTGCGATGTGTATGAGCAGGGCCCAGTGTGTGTCCTGCGTTAAAAATACATCCTCATGTTTAGTTTGACTTTAATTCTCTCCCGAAGGAACATTCAGGCTGTTTGTTTGTTCATGCACAGAGAGAAACTGTTGAAAAACTGGTGGAAACAGTTTAAGGTGAACATGAAATGACGTTCGTCACAGGGTTATTATTGTTAACTAAAAGCATAAACAAAATGTTACTTTAAATAAAATAAATGTTAATTGAAATAAAATACCTTTTTTATTATTATTTCTGTTATTTGCCAAAGCAACTTGATTTACTAAAATAACTAAAAATAAAATAAAAATTAATGAATACACTATAGACATATTACTAATAAAACTAATAAAAATGGGGGAGAAAAATACAAGAAAATTACTAAAGCTTTAACTAAATAAAAATGTATTCAAAATAATAACAAAAACTATAATAGTATCTCAATGAAAATAAAATAACACTGATAAAATAATATTTTATTTCTGTATTTTTGTGTATTTCTTTAAAAACATCCTTAAAAAACTTCAAATAAAAAAGAATGTATAATGATAATGAGACCAGTTTTCAGAGAATATATCTACAATTTAAGTGTTTAATTTTTTGTTCTTGTTGTATACATATATATATATATATATATATATATACACATAACCACAATTTTTTTTATTTATGTTTAAAACAAGAAAAAAAGTGTTTAGGAAAAGCAAGAAAAATACACTTTATTCAAGTTCAATTCATTTTTTTTTCTTTGTAAAAAAAGAATATGACATTTGGTAGGGAGCTGAAAAGACATTACATTTTGCAATAACATACAACAACGGATCGTTCAGAAGAGCAGGAGCTTGTATTAAGCACTTGACAGGGTCCTTTTTTATCTTATGTTCTTTCATTTGTTCTTATGTCTTGTTTAATTATGTTATGAATGAGTGGAGCTGCTAAGATGAACTTTAACTGTAACTTTATTTGTTTCAGGATCAAGATGTTGCCGGTGTCACCCTTCATGTCCCTGCTCCTCCTGTGTGTGATGGGGTCCGTCTGCACCACATCTGTCAGTCCGTCACTGCATCGGCCTCCTCTCACACGTGTTCGCATTATCGAAGTCGAGGACGACTACGATGAAGAAAGTTCAAAGACGACGCTGTCGCCAGGGGTCACGACCTCTCGTGTGATCCGTCGACCTTGTGATTATGACCCCTGTGCCGTTCAAATGACCCCTTGCGAAAAGATTTCAGCCCAGACGGGCTGCCTCTGTCCTGGGTTGACGGGGCCAGAGAAGAGACCCGAGGCTCCTGAGCTCCGGGAGGTGAAGCTGGACGGATCCGGCGAAGTGTCTGTGCATTGGTGTGCTCCTCGCTCCACCGTCACCTATTATGAAGTCACACTGAAAGATGGAAACAAGCAGCTGGTTTTCGGAGAATATTTCAGAAATGGTGCCGTACCCGGGCTGAAAGTCGGGGAGACGGTGTGTGTGGCAGCTGGGAATAAAGTGGGAGTCAGCGAGAAGTCGTGTGCACGATATGAGCCGCCACAACCTGACCAGGCAGCTCTGAGCGCAGGGATCATCGCGGGGAGCATCGGCTTCCTGCTGCTGCTTTCAGCGCTCGCTGTTATACTGTGGAGACGAAGGTCGTGTCAAAAAGGCAGGAAGGGAGACGCCGAGGGCCTCGGAAATCCTTCATACACCAATGATGGAGCACTGTGATAGGAAAACAAATGCATGGAGAATGAAACAAGTTGCAAAGAGACTGAGTTTTGTACAAGTGCGCTATTGGTCAAAAGACTGGAATAATAAAGATTTTTTTAATGTTTTTGAAAAAAGTCTCTTCTTCTCACCAAGGCTGCATTTGTTTGATCTAAAATACAGTAAAAACGTGAAATATTTTTACAATTTAAAATAACTGTTTTCTATTTAAGCATATTTTAAAATGTTATTTATTCCTGTGATGAAAAGTAAAATTTTCAGCATCATTACTCCAGGCTTCAGAAATCATTCTAATATGCTGATTTGCTGCTCAAGAAACATTTCTGATTATTATCAATGTTAAAAACAGTTGTGCTGCTTCATATTTGTGACCCTGGACCACAAAACCAGTCAAATTTGAGATTTATACATCATCTGAAAGCTGAATAAATAAGCTTTCCATTGATGTATGGTTTGTTATGATAGGACCATACTTGGCCGAGATACAATTATTTGAAAATCTGGAATCTGAGGGTACAAAAAAAATCTAAAAACTGAGAATCGCCTTTAAAGTTGTCCAAATGAAGTCCTTAGCAATGCATATTACTAATCAAAAATTTTTAAGTTTTAATATATTTACAGTAGGAAATTTACAAAATATCTTCATGGAACATGATCTTTACTTAATGTCCTAATGATCTTTGCCATAAAAGAAAAATCAATAATTTTGACCCATACATTGTATTTTTGGCTACTGCTACAAATATACCCCAGCGACTGGTTTTGTGGTCCAGGGTCACATTTGTGTGGAAACCATGATACATTTTATTTTTTAGGATTCTTTGATGAATAGAAAGTTCAAAAACAGCATTAATTGAAAAAATATTTTTAAAAAAATCGTAATTATTCCAAACTTTTGACCTGCAGTGTATATAGTGCACCTGACTGAAAATAATGCTCTCTGTTTTAGGTTCACTACTAAACTGCTGTGATTGGTTCTGAATTATTTTTTTTGCGAGATTGTGAGTGGTTTGAATGTTTAAAGTCAGCATGGAATCAAATCTGTTTACTTCCATAATTCATATTAGTGCTCTTAATGTGAACGATTCATTAATGCACATTAGTCCAACAAATCTCTCATCAAAAAAATCATCGCTCCACTTCTGAAATTACTTTCCAAAAAGCTTTTTCAAAAGTGAGTGCATTCAAATATGAAACACTCATCACATCAATTCCTGATGGACAAAATCAGTCCTGTGGTTCATTTGATTGTTTTCACTTCACAATATAGAAGCAACATGTGTTTTGATCATTTTATGCTGACTTTATCACTACTAATGGTTCTGCAGCACTTAGGAAGCCTGGAGCTTCGTAGACAGGGTTTTACAAAGTATCTGTTGTACAGCTACTTTTACTTAGAGAGTACGTGTAACTATTTTAAAGATGATTGATAATGTTTTAACAATAAAGATGCATTTACTTGACTGAGTTTATTTTGTATTCATTCATGCATGAATGCATGCTTATTTATAAAACTGACTGTTACCCAAATTGAAGAAGTGGTTGCTCTTGCAGTGTAGTTGTTACGTATGCTGCCTATTGAAATGAGTAAAGTGACTATCTCGTAACATGGAAGGAACTACGCCTAATCTGATGCAGTGGTATCATTGGGCAATGATGAATCAAGCACTCATAACAGATTCAAAATTGGTTATTTTCCATCCAGCTTTGTCAATCACTCATTCTTGCTACTTACTAATCTCAGTTTATTGCTGTTATATGAGAGATATTTGCCTCCAGCGCAGACACAGAGTGTTGTTTTCTTGGCAAACAGGAGTGGTATTTATTACTCAGAAGTCATAGCATAGGCAAGTATGATAAATAATACATCATAAAAATAACTATAACCCCAAATAAGCAAATATATGAAAGTGAAATGTAAGCTTTTCACCATTAATACTTTCAGGATGATCATATAAAGAAAAATAATAGCTTGTAAAAAGTGGTCACTGATGCTTTTGTCAATAGTCAATAGTGTAATAATTTCAGCCCAAAACCTGGTTGCACTGGTCTGGATGTCCGGGCCATGACTTAAATCAGACATGTAAGGCAACAGACTGGTCAAATTAGTCAATCTGTATGGTGCAATTATTTATGTTTTGTCACACACACTAATGAAATTCCTCTGTTGTGTTAAGTAAATTCCTCTTTTTGTCTTCTGAATGTAGCCTACATCTTATCCGTTGGTTAAATAAAATAAATTGTAATAATTTCAGGAGACATTCTTGCCCTCTGCACACAGAAACAAAGTACACAGATTTGAGTTTAACTGGATCACAGGGCAAAAAGAGGGTTAATTTCCAAAACATTCCTTACACACCATGGGACCAGGAGGGAATGTTGTACAATCATTGTTAGACTTTGCTGTAATTTTACAGTTACTTACCGCAAAAAAGCCCTGTAAACTACCATATATATGTTTTACGGTTAACTACTGTAATATGCACTGAATTATGGGTATTTTAATGCCATTTACAGTAATTTACTGTATATGGGAATTTGTGGTACTTTACTGTTTGCTCAAAAGCAGTAGTCCTACTGTAAATTGTTCTGCAGATGAAAAACATGAATCTGCATTCTCAATATAATGTCTGGGTAAGCACAAGTGTGGTGAAATAAATGCATTTTTAAAATGATAATACAATACATAAACTTTGCTTACACCCCACAAAATTTACATTTTATTCGCGCGCAAAGCCCACGCAACAACCTGGCAGAGGTTATATAAACTGAGGCTTGTGTCTGGCGCGCGCATAATGGGTAGGCCTATATGTCGCACGCTCTCTCTCTCGTAAATGTTTAGGCCAGTGCATATACCAGAGGGAAAAAAATATATACAAGTAAAATTATAATCAATTAATTCAAGAAAGAAAATGTATTCTTTATTATGGCTTCTTGCTTGTTAATAGAAGCAAGGTCTAATCAAAGTCAGTGTTCTCTTAAAGGTGCTGTATGTAAGTTTTTGACTCTACTAAAGCATAAAAATGCCATAATATGTTTGCAGATATTTAAGAAACATGCTAAGTTAACATACTTGTTTATCTGAAAAACAATGCTACAGTCAGTTATTCTCCTTTGAATTGTGTTTCGGCACCCCGGGTTGCCAGTTGCCGGAAAATACAGCGTATTTCATTTCATTCATCGTCAAGTGCGCTCGTTCCTGTTGTGTGGTCAATCTGGCAACCTGCGTTTGCGTCAAGTCTGAGGAGGAGGGGCCGGGTGCAAAAAACCCTCTCCAATATTTTGAATTTGGACTGCAATA